GCGGCGGCGGACCGCTTCGCCGCCTCCGCCCAGTTCTCGGACACTCCGAGCTCGAGCGCCGGGCGGCACAATGGTCAAGCGCTCCGAAGCGAGTGGCGCTAACGATGACGCTCAGGACGCCAACGACGACGATGCCAGCGACGGCAGCGACGCCGACGATGCCGACGGCACCTACTCAGACTCCTCTGTGCTCCGCTACTTGTGCGATAAGGCTGCCGGCGCAAGCGCCGTTCCGGAGTGTTCGCCGATGAGCGAGTCATTCGAATCGGGTATGTTGCATGGCTGGCGCTGCGCAGTGCCCATAACTACCGGCAAGTGCAAAGTCGTCTACTCGATGACTGTCAGTGCGGGCGCTCGGCCGCTCCTGGGCTGTGCTGGCTCCCAGGGCTACGTGAGCCTTTACCGTGCATCGCATCTCCACGACCCGTCGGCGCCGCCGCTCGAGCCCCTCTGGAGCTTCAAGGCGCACAACAAATGGGTGGCTGACCTGCAATTTTGCTCGGCGGCCGCCGGGGACGATGATCCTAATCTCATGCTGACAGCATCGGATGATGCGACAGTCGTGCTGTGGGACCTGCGCAAGATCAAGGGACGCGATGAGGAGCCGCTCAAGCTCGCCACATGCAGCCCACACAGCAGTGGCATCTTTTCGATGCACGAGTGCGGCGGGCGAGTGCTGTCGAGCTCCAAGGACAAAACGGTCGCCATCTCGTTGCTGCGCGAGGCGTCGCTCACATGCTCGCACGCCTACCTTCCCAATGTCGGCGTCGTCAAGTGCGCGCGATGGCGCGATGCCCACATGCTTGCCTGCACGGGGAATACTGGCGAGGTCGTTCTCGTTGATACGCGCTGCGCAGACGCCCGCGCGGCCGTCTTGTCTCCCTTGGCAGACGTGCACGGCCGCATCGCCTATTGCGTGCGCTGGTCTCCGCTCTCGGAACACGTCGTGCTCAGCGTCGACCCCGCCGAGATACTGGTGCACGACCTGCGCCGTCCGCCGGCGCCGCAACTTCGCCTTCGCGGCCACGCGAAGCCTAAAGATGGCCAATTCACGGACAAGATCTTCACCCCGAGCTTCTCGCACGGTGGTCGCGCGGTGAGCGCACTTGGCTGCCACTCGCAGATGCTGAGCGTCTTTTCGCTCGATGATGGGCGCCGTCTCTCAGAGTGCAACCTGGAGATGGACGGGATGAAAAAGGTCGTCGAAAAGGGCGGCGGCGTGTGTGCGGTGCCGGCGCAGCCGAGCAGGGGCGTGCCCGAGGTGCTGCTCTTCACCAGCGGTAGCACTCTCGAGAGCTTCGTCCCGCAACCCCTGACGCAACCCCTCGGAGGCTGAGCTGCCGTCTGTGCGCTCTCAGCGCCTCTCCGACCCGCTTCTCGCTTAGATACTATACCGCTGCACAATGCGTGCACAATGCGTGCACAGTACCCCCGCCCGACGCTCGGTCATGCCAGATTTTTGAGTAAGATTTGAGTTTTTAGTAAGATTCATATTTCAGTACCGATCAGCGATCTTGACTCTTTTTGAGTACACACATATAGGTGTGATTGCGGGTCACGCCGCTCCGCGCTCCACGGTGACGGTCTCGCTTGAAGTTTCAACTTGTTCGTTGTTGCGCCTTGCGGTTGTATCACGTATGCGCCTTGCGCGCTTCGGCCTACTACGGCCTTGGGCCATCCCCATCGCGCGCGGTTGTGTCCACGCTGGTCGCTGCCCGGCATGCGCCTGTCGGCACCGGCCGCGGTGTCATCGATGTATCATGTGGAATGAAATTGTGTTCACAGCCGAGGCGAAAACCTGGAAAAGACATCTCTCCTCACCGCGGCGACGTCCGTCGCGCGATATGTGGCGCTTGGTCTTCGGGGCTCTCGTTGCAAGCGCGGAAGCCTTCGCCTTCAGCCCCTTGGTCGTTCAGAATCGAGGCAGACGGCTTTGCGCGCTAGCTTCCGAGGATCCGTTTAAACGAACGCCGCCAATCGCGCCCACAAAGGAATTGGATTTTGAAGCAGCAGATCCCGACACAGTAGTCGGTGCCCGGATCCTGGGTGCCTCACTGGGTGGCATCGCCGGGAATAATATATATTATGGGCTGCAGAACGTAGGTCTCCTATCGTGTTCACCGTTCAATTTAGAGGGATGCTCTGCAAGACCATCACCAAGGCCTTCTGCCGCCGCTCCACTGATGAATGATGAGGCCATGGACGCGTTTCCCTTTGCCGATGTGCTGCGTCACCCCACCTCTTTGCTACCAAAGGAATGGAAGCTCGAGGGCCGACGATATTTGGAGAGCGCGCCAGCACCGGCACCCACCTCGTCGCCACCACAAGATGCTCCTGAAGCCGCTCTCAATGAGCTGCAGCAGCTGCGCGATCAGCTGCGCGAGGAGCTATCACGGCTCCAGCAGACCTCGTTTGTGTCACCACCTATCGGGGTGCCGGCAGCAAGTGCTGCCGAGCCACCGACTACGTTAGTTGATACCAGCTCGTTCCTCCATGTGAGCGCCAGCGCCAGTGGAGGGGACACCTTCGCTGGTCTCTTTTCAGCTCTGGTGTTCGCGGCTCTCGGGGCGCTGATCCTCGAATATGTGGCCGTTAATCGCGCGCCACCAATCCCAGATCCCCTGCTCGGAGGCGTCTGGGGCACATTGCACTTCTTTGCGAAGCAGCCCAGCAAATTGACCGGCTTGGTTGCACGGAAGGCTGCGGAGGCTGTCAAAGGAGCGCTGCCGTTTTAGATTAACCGACGAGGCATTCTGGGCCAGTACGATGCGTGACACTAAAATCATTTAACCTCATACACACTTCGCCATACGCACCCACCTTATACACCGCGCGCGTATAGCACACCCACCACATAATACAGTTTCAGAAGTGGCGAGAAGGCCCAATGCAAGCGGTTCGGTGCGCGTGTAGAGACTGGGGTCACCGAACCGCCCCATGCTCATGCAAAAACCCATCGATGCCATGTGCTGTTGAATGCTTTCGAACGGGCTCTTGCAAGTTCGTCATGACGATGACTTACTTGTTCATCCACAGCGGCGTGCGGAACTTGGCGCCTGCGTACGGGGCAGACGAGCCAAGCTCCTCCTCGATACGCAGCAGCTGGTTGTACTTTGAGAGGCGCTCCGAACGGCAGGGCGCGCCCGTCTTGATCTGGCCCGTGCACAGGCCAACGGCAAGGTCTGCGATGTACGTGTCCTCCGTCTCACCCGAGCGGTGCGACGTCATCACGCCCCAGCCTGCCTTCTTGGAGTCCTTGACCGCCTGGATGGCCTCCGTGATCGAACCGATCTGGTTGACCTTGAGCAGCAGCGCGTTGCACGCCTTGTCGGCCACGGCACGCTTGATCTTCGTCGGGTTGGTGACGGTGAGGTCATCGCCCACAATCTGCACGTCCTTGCCGTACTTGGTGACCATTTCTGACCAGTTCTCCCAGTCGTCCTCGTCGAAGCCGTCCTCGATGGTGACGATCGGGAAGTCGCGGATCAGCCCACCGTAGAACTCCATCAGCTCAGAGCCCGAGATCTGCTGCGGGGCCGTGTCCCACATGCCGAGGTCGTACTTGGCATCCTTGCCGTTCGGGCTGCCTTTGACCTTGAACTCGGAGGCGGCCACATCCAGGCCCACCTTGCACGAGCCCAGGTAGCCCGCCTTCTCAATCGCCTCCATCACAAGCTCGATGCCCGAGCGCGAATCGCACGGCGGAGCAAAGCCGCCCTCGTCGCCGATGAGCGTCGCGTCGCCGCCAAACTTCTTCTTGAGGATCTTGGCAAGGTTGTGGTACACCTCGGTGCCGATGAGCATGCCCTCCTTGAAGGTCTCTGCGCCGGTCGGAATCACGAAGTACTCCTGGAAAGGCAGCTTGTTGCCCGCGTGCGAGCCGCCGTTGATGACGTTGAAGCACGGCACGGGCATCATCAGCTGAGTATTGCCCGCGAGGTCGGCAAAGTGACGGTACAGAGGCACACCCTTGGCAGCCGCACCAGCCTTGGAGGCGGCAAGAGAGATGCCAAGCACGGCATTCGCGCCGACCTTCCCTTTGTTGGCAGTGCCGTCGATCTCGTTCATCATCATGTCGAGTTTAGTCTGGTCCCTGCAGTCCATGCCGATGAGCTTGGGTGCAAGGATGTTGTTCACGTTGGCAACTGCCGTGAGCACGCCCTTGCCCATGTGACGATCGCCACCGTCGCGAAGCTCCACTGCCTCGTAAGCACCGGTCGAGGCGCCGGAAGGCACGGACGCGCGCGAGAGCACGCCACCGACGACCATGTCCACTTCTACCGTCGGGTTGCCGCGCGAGTCCTGCGAGCACACGGACATGCACAGAGACTTGTGGGCATGCCCGGAAAAGAACAATCGGGAGGGGCTTTCAGATGGCGCAGCGCACATAGATCTGGCGCGCCTTGATGCTCTGGATGGCGTTCATGGAGATGGGCCCGGCCCGAAGGCTCTGCACCGTCTGCAGAATCACGACGAGAACGGTGAGTACGTAGAGCATTTTTTTCTCCGCTTGGTATCGAGCGCCGCTCCGCAGCATCGGAGATCGGAAAGATACAACGAGATGCTGGCGAATGAAACCTCAAACTCTTTTGCTCGAGAACGAATTACCCTCTCTGGACTCTTCCCGTTCGTGCTCCTTCCGTTGCGTGTCATCATCTCCAGCCTCGAGTGTCGAGACACGAGAGCACATTTGATTCGACGTAGGGGCCGGTCAGGCGTAGGGCATACACCTCGGGCATCGCCGCCATAGTCTCCATACTAGATACTTCGGCTTTATTCCCTAGCCGTTAGGTTCTTGTCTGTTGTTTATGAAGTAACTTGAACTTGAACTTACCCTCTAGATCTCTCCTTGTATTTGCACCCGTGTTCCTTGCTCCCATGTTCGTGGGGCTGCTCACACAGGGCCTCAGCGCGGAGCTCCCCTCCAGCCTCCGCCGGCACAGCGCGGCGCCGTGTCAGCCACGACAATTCAACCACGACAATCCAGCGTGGGGGACCGATCAGCTCAGAGCAGGCGGGTCAGAACAGGCGGCTGCGCGCACTTGGGCGGCCACTATGCCAATCGCCTCGAGGAAGGCGACGCCCTCGAGGGGCTGCACGCGCGCCTTGAGGCTCTCGGGCGTGTCCAAGGGCAGCACAGGGCAGCGCTTCTGAACGACGATCTGGCCGCCATCTACCGCCTCCTCGATGAAGTGCACTGTGCAGCCGCTCTCCGGCACGCCGGCCGCGAGCACGGCCGAGTGCACCTCGAGGTCCATGCCGCCCGCGAAGGCGGGCAGCAGCGACGGGTGCACGTTGAGAGCGCGCTGACGCCAGCGCATGCAAAAGGGCGCCGAGAGGATGCGCATCCATCCAACGCACAGGACGGCATCACAGCCAGCCTCCTCCAGCCGCTGCGTGATCTCGGCGTCGTACGCATCGCGGCTGCGGCCGTTCACGGGCACATGGGCGTGCGGTAGGCCGTGCAGCGCTGCGCGCCGCAGGATGCCAGCGTCCTTCTTATTGCTGAGCACGAGGTTAATCGTCACGTGGCGAAGCACACCCGCGGCGAGCGCGCGCAGCACTGGCTGCAGCGACGATCCGCGCGTGGAGCCTAGCACACCAAGGCGCACGACACGCCCCCCAGGGGCTCCGTCCGCGGCGGCCGCCGCCTGCAGTTCGAGCATCCGCTTGACGCGCGAGGCGACGAGCGGCTCCTTGCCTATGTCACTCCGGTGGAAGAGCGACCCCTTGACGGCGCTCACCTCGCGCTCGGCCCGCGCTTCAGCCGAGTTGAGGTCGGCGGCGAGCGCGACGACTCCGACGGCGCGCGAGCCGGTGCCGCGCAGCGTGCCCGCAGCGTCGCGGTCGATGGCACCGAGGAAGGCGAATTCGGGCGACTCGAGGCCGCTGAGGTCCACCTCGAAGCCCTTAAGCGGCGTGTCGGGATAGCCCTCGGGGCATGCGTACTTGCAGCACGAGGCGAGTGGCTGGAAGTGGACGGGCACGCGTGCGAGCCCGCCGCTGGCAGTCGCTTCGCACACCGTAAGGAAATCGGTGCGCTCATGGTCGAGGAGCGCGAGCAAATTGATGCACTCGGGGTCGCCGAAGCGGGCGTTGAACTCGATGAGCATGACACCCTTGGGCGTGAGCATGTAGCCACCGTAGAGGATGCCACGGTAGAGCTCGCCGAGTTCGCAACGCAGCGCGCGCACGCACGCTCCATTTATTGCGCGCGCTTCATCGAGCGCCTTCTGCGAGAGGAAAGGCAGCAGGTGATCCTCGCACGTGTACGTGCCCATGCCCCCCGTGTTGGGCCCTTGGTCGCCCTCGTACGCGCGCTTGTGGTCCTGCACGGCGGGCATGTGCGAGAGCGTCTCGCCGTCGGTGAAAGAGAGAACCGAAAACTCCTCGCCACGCAGTCGCTCGCACAGCACGAAGTGTGGAAGGCACTCCTCACAGTACGCAAGCGCCTCGTCAATTGAGCTCAGGTGGTCTCCAGCCACCTTGACACCCTTACCACCGCAGAACCCATCGGCCTTGACGACGTAATTTCCCTCGCCGAGCTCCTCGAGGTACTCGCGTGCACCATCCATGGAGAGGAACTCGCGGAACTTGGGGATGCCTGCGACGCAATGACGCTGCAGAAGCTCAAGTGCCCACCCCTTGCTGCTCTCGATCTGTGCCAAGTGCGCTGATGGGCCCACGACGGGAACCTTAACGGCGCGGAGGGCATCGGACACACCCGCGGCGAGCGGTGCCTCCGGTCCGCAAATCGCGAGCGTTGCACCACGCTGATGGGCAAACAACGTAATTGCTGACACGTCTGTCAACTTGCCCACCATGTAGCCGTCGTCCATGCAGAGGGCGTGGATGCCAGGATTGTTGGCCGACCCAAAGCAGAGCAACGACGGCTTGCGCGGGCTGCGGGCGAGTGCAGATGCGATGGCGTGCTCACGTGCACCCGAGCCGATGACGAGGACCGTCGCGCTCGCAGCTGTTTTCATTCTTGCGGTGATGTCGGTAAGCGATCTCCCGTTGATGAGATCGTTCGCTGCTGAAGGCGCCGTCGGCTTCGGTGTGCTCTGCGGGCAGCGGCACGCCCTCGGGCGCGAATCGTGAGCTCGCTGAGGGCTATCTCAACCTCGAGGCGATGCTGAAGCAAGGCACGGACCAAATCAACCTACCGCTCAAGCTCGAGCGCAAGGGGGGCGGCGTGGCCGCGACGCTCCAGGTGAGCCTGATCGCCGTCGAGCCGCTCCGGCGCATTCAGTTCCCCGTGTCCTCGTCGGACGCGATCCGCATCGACGTGGGCGAGCTTACAGCTTCTGAGGCGCTCGTGGGCGACGGCGCGATCGTCGACGTGTGGGTCGAGGTCGATATGCTCGACCTCGACGGCGGCACGCCGCTGCGCACGCCGCCGCTGTGCAAGACGGCGCCCAAACTCGACTTCAACTTCTCGCAGACGCTCACCGTCGATGGCGACAAGCTTGAGACCCTCCGGCGTGCGCTCGAGGGTCCAGAGCAGGAGAGCGACGTGTACTTTTTGCTCAAGGGGCGGGGACCGCGCGTGCCCGAGCGTGAGCTCGCGCAGGGCTTCATCAATCTGCAGCACCTTGCGCAGAGCGTCGCCAAGGGCGGCAGCGGCGACGTGGTGCGCACCAAGATCTCGCTGATCTCCGAGGAGCGCAAGTCGTACGGCAACCTCGTCGTGTCGCTCGTGGCGAGCGAGCTGCTCACGCGCGCGCGCCAGGCGCAGCTGGGTGGCTCCAAGGACGCCATCCGGCTCGAGCTCGGCGCCCTCGAGCTCGCACCGATCGTGCGCGCCGACGCAAGCGTCTTTGAGCTC